ACAACATCCTCTTATTGAATATATATGTTGTGAGTTTATTACAACCGACTTCATTCTCATACCTGAAGTTTATGAGATAGCTGGCTAAGAAGGATAGCTCAAATTTGTCTCCCATCCAGATCACCTGACTAGAACCAAGGTCATGTTTAGACAAGTTTTATGATCTCTCCCAGGCATCTTCTATAGTCCTATATTTCTTATCATTACATATCTGTGCCTAGGATATATTCATATGTTTAGTATTACAGCCATTCAAGACTTTGGGTTTGTATTCTATCCAGCATTTTTAAAGTTTTCATTCATTGGTCTGAGTGTACTATTGACACATTTGCCAGGTACCAACAAATTGAGAAGATACCAAAAGAATTTTGAAATAGGATCCGTTGAGAATTATTTGAATACATGTGCCATGGTCATTGAGGAATTCTTGGTCACTGCACAAGACAAGCATTTGGGTTCTTTTTGTTTGCTTATATTACTAAGAACTTTTTGGTTGTAGTATTATAGAGACTGACATATCGAATATGCACTAGAACCAATTTTAGAAACTGTTTAGTAATGGAGTGACAGTTATTTATTATCATTTTACTTTCTGCATTTCACTCCCAGTAGCTTTGACTCAGCATCATCTGTTATTGCTGTCATCAGTTGAAAATGCCACTGGGCACTGTAAAGGTCTAAAACCAACAAACAATGGTTTGGAGTCCGCAGTCAATGAGAGGGAAATACTAAAGGACCAGTCGTGCATGCCTTATGAAGTGGCAGAGGAACAGCAGTAGAAATTAGTGATTATCTGAATTATCAAACATGAATACTTACTGGACCAATACAGTGGTTATATGCAGTGATCAGGCATTCCACAGTGAATACAATACAGAAGTATGAGTTTGCTACATGTTTAGAAGTCATTCTTCAAAGAGCTCATTATTTGTTTGTTTTCATGCTCTAAGTAAAGAAAAAAATAGATATATTTTCTATTAAAAACTTACATTTGAAAGAGATTAGAAAATAAACTCATATTAAAATAATCAAAGTCCTAAAAGTATTGATAAAAGTTCTTTGTAAATCCTAAAACCTTCCTAAAAGATTATATTCATCACATGTTAAGTGATATTTTCTATTTGAACAGAGAAAACCCGGTTATCCTTTAATACTTTAAAGTTTACAGAATAAATTTAAATTGATGTCTTATTTAAGTAAAATTCTGGGTTTGGTTTTTATTTTTTTTCTTGATTTTATTAATTAGTCTCAAGATTTCAGTGGTTTAGGTAAGTCAGGTTGGCTGGGACCATATTCCAGGTCTTCTGGCACCAACCACACTTTTTCCAGTATAGCACACTTACAAACTTGGGTATAATCTCATCATCCCTTAAGATCTCATTGCCCAATTCTTGCTACAGTCAATATTATAATTCTTCTACTAGAAAGGAGACTTGTAAACTAAAGACCATAAACCTTAGTATCAGATCTGTTTAAGCCTTACAAATTTCCAATACTTCCATCTTCCATCAGTAACAAAATCAGTTTATTGATTACCATTGACCTGACAGTATTGCTGGTGGATCACTTTGCCTTGATGAAATGGAGTAACAACAGTGAAATAGTCATCCAGCAGAAGACCTTATAGGGTAATGGTCTGAGGTCTCCAACCATAGAATCCAGAAGATAGAGGAAGTTACTCCTCAGCCAATCTCTTGTCCATCAGCTTCTCTGGTATTTCATTACAGGGAATGTTCCTAACTTCTAGAAATTTTTACTAGTTTATTGTTTGCAATAGGGGCAACAGTAGCAATAGTCACATAAATAATGTAAAAATGAAATAGTGATCACAAAAAGCAACTCTTGATAGTGTGATAAAACAGAAAATCTGATGAGATTCTTGTTCTCTCTTTTTTCCTTATTATTGAAAGCCTGGCTGGGCAATGGGAGTTGTTTTGGTGATTCATTGGTTTCTGTCTTTGAGTCCTCAGTTACCTCCATCAAGTTATATAGGACTTAATTGCCTAGCTTTATGATACATACTCATAAAAAAAGAAAAAAAGGCATTCTGGCCCAGCTGGTGTGGCTCAGTTATTGAACTTCGATCTGTGAACCAAGAGGTCTCTGGTTGATTCCTGGTCAGGGCACATGCCCAAGTTGCAGGATCCCCAGTAGGGGGTGTACAGGAGGTAACCAATCAATGATATTTATCTCTCATCAATGTTTCTATCTCTGTATCCCTCTAAAAC